TCATACCACCACTATTAGATTATATCATCACCATTAGATTATATCACCACCATTAGATTACATAAACACTGACACAATCATTAGATTATGTCACCACCATTAGATTATATCGACACCGTTAGATTATGTTACCACTGTCATAACCTAACTCAACTCGCCGGATGTTCTTTAACATAATTATGTTAAAGAACATCCGGCGAGTACAATAATTATATCATAGTTCAATAAAATCTAACTAACTAAATTTGTAAATTACGTTTCGTCAATAAAATTTATATCACTAATACAATTTTATTCTAAATACATCCTCTTCGTCTTGCGTGGGCAATTACAATACATAAAAACCAGGGTCTCACATTATGAAAGGCTATAGTAGATCTTAGCGACAAAGAATTTGTAGCAGGTCTTTCTTTTGTGGCAGTGTCTCGAGTAAGCGCCCTCAAAGATCTTCTCTTCAAACCCTTCAATTTTGAGAGACTTCAACGCATTAAAGAGTGCAAAAGATTACAAGAATGGTTAGACGAAGAGAAATGTTTAGTTTTCATGATACCAAAAACTAAATGTAACAGATCTAACAATAAAAATAAAAAATAGAAAGTAAAATTTTTCGTTCCAAATAATTATTGTTATATTTATATTATTATACTATATTAGCGTGAAAAACTGCAAATATGTTTTATTTCTACAGTTTTGGCGGAAAAAACTGACAATTAGAAATTAGCGATTATCTCACCCAGGTTTTAGTAAAAAATTTTAAAATTTTAAAATTAAATTCCTCAAATATACATTAAAAACATATTAAAATTTCAAAAGCCTATTATGCATCCTTGATTCTCTATCACTGATTCTAAACATCTCGACATTGATCTTACAAGATTAATACACAAATTTTTATTGATTACCTCTCACTCCTCCTTTATTGTCTCCATAAAAACCTCCTGCGTAACTGATTTTTTTTCAATAATCATAATATTAACCTTCTTTTCCACATTTCTTTTCATTATTGCCCATAAGTTTTCGATTGGATTTAGATCCGGAGAGGAAGAAGGCCAGTCAAGAACACGTGGATAACGTTCATGAAGAAGAGCAATCGTAAGCTTGGTTCAATGCTTCAGATCGTTATCCTGTTAGTATGTCCACCTATTACCAAGGACCTGGGATGCTTGTTCAAACAAATTTTCAGTTATAATCTTTTGGTAAAGCTCTCCATTCATGTTTTCAGTGAACATATGAAAGCCGACAATTCCCTTTGCACAAAATGCTTCCCACACATGCACTTTAAAAGGATGTTTCACTACTACACGCCTTGGCTTTAGTTCTCTACTTTTATAACGAACTAGGGTTGTGTTACGAAACATTTGAAATGAAGATTCATTAGAAAATACAACATTATTCTAACGTTCTCTTTGGTGTGCCTTTGCCCAAGCAACACGACGATTCATAGCCTCTGGAGTAAGAAAAGGAACTGAACGTGGAACACAAACTTTATACCCAAGAACTTGAAGGTTTTCTCTAACTGTTCGGGGTGCAATATCAAGGTCGGGGTATTTTTTTTTAATATTTTCAGTTAACTCAATACTTGACGAATATTTTTGCGATTTTGCAATTCGACTAAGGTAACGACGTTGAATAGGGGTAAGACGCTTTGGGCGACCTGGATGACTTCTTTGCTTTAAGTTGTTTGTTTCTTTAAGTTGTTTAGTCCACCTGTATAAGGTTTTCAACAGAAAACCAGTTGCATTATGAAGGTCTCCAACTTTACGAACTCCACTTTTCCATAAAGTCTTAATGCAGCTACAGCGTTCCTTAAGTACAACCATCGTGTGATGTGCATGACCTCCAGGCCGCAGTAATTTATTAAAATATAACGTAAACAAGTTGTTTACATCATATATTCTATTTTTGTATAGGAAAAATAACATGATCGGCTCTGAAATCTAAAAAAAAAATTGTCAGTTTTTTTGCTAGAACTGTACAAAATAGTGGAATCTAACTAATTGTTGCAAAAAAACATTCATTATTTTTAGAAAATTTTTTTTTTCACACTTATCATGTACTGTGACACTTTCATGTTACACTTCATGTCACACATCATGTAACACCTTTACCTTATGTTTATCACAGATTTGTTTATCAGTATAGCACAAAATTTCAGTAATATGATGCGTGCGAACAAATGGACTTTGCTACGTGATATGGTTATACTTAATATTCACAAATATATATAGTCCTCCGCTTTGCTCTGAACAATAAATATTTACCATGAGTTATTTCCATTTGTTGCATAATAAAAAGACAATCTATTTCATTATTTTGTTGTACTTTACGATTAATAATATCAAAAAATGAATTATCTGCAATACTTTGTTCTAATTTATTATCATTTTCAAATATTAGTTGATCAAGATAATTTGGTAAATTATTTCTTACCGTGATATGATGTTGATGTTGCAATAACATTTGATTAATTTGATCATATGAATTATCATTAATATTATCATTAATATTGTCATCGTAACTATTGTCTTCATTAATATCATTAGTAATATGGGAGCTTTGCAATAGAAAGGGAGGAAACTTTAAAAAAAATTTTTTTTTGAGTTAATGTTAAATCTGGACTTATTTTACAAAAAAAATTATAATTAGCTTAGAAAATAAAATTTTGATTTTTTTAGAATTTCCTTCCTTTCTATTGCAAAGCTCTCATATTATCAAAATTAGAGTGTTTCAAAGTATACAAAATATTCTGAATAATTGTAACATATTCAAATTGTTTATAATCGATTCCTATACTCTTTAATATAGAATTCATTGCCTTTGAAACCTATAATAATTATTAAATATTCATTAATAATAAATACACAATACTGAGTTTAAATTAAATTAAAATTTATTTACAGACTTTTAGCATATTAGAATCTATATCATATACATTTAGCAAATCTGATAAAGTCTTTAAAAATATATCCTTTGCAGTAGAAAGATAAATATTATATCTATCATTATTATTTGGTCGTATTAGATTATCTTAAAAATAAAAATAAAATTAGTTTTTTTTTAAATTATATATTTTTTTTTTGGATCTGTCCAAAATTCTGATAGTTAAAATCCCGATAAATCTAAAATCCTGATAAGCTGATCCGCATTATGGATAGTTCTACCCAAAAGTGTCAGAATTTTGGACTATCAGGATTCTGACTGTTAGGATTTCATGATAAATCCATTTCTTTTATATTAAATAAATATCTTACCTTTCATTTCGATTGAAATTGTTTTAATTACTTTTTCATTTATCATTAAGAAATCTAATACAGTAAAATCCTCTATAATTCGTCATACATAACCAAATATATGTTCCAAAAGGCAGTAGAAATAAGCCAAGGACATAATAGCATTCCAGGATAATGATTTAGAAATTGATAAATTAGAAGAATTAAAGTAGTACCAAGATAGATAAAATTATCATTTGATTGTCTTTCTGAGAATTTCGTTGGTTTTGATTTAATATTAAATAGTTACGTGTTGTTGCAAAAAATATTGTTACTGCCTATGCAAATCTAATTCTATTTAAATGATCCATTGTATGTGACTTCTATGATTCAAATAATAATCCCGTAAAAAAGTGATACAAAGTATTCCCATAAAAATAATCATTATTATATTCAATAGAATACTGAACCATAGCTAAAAATCAGACAAAAAAGACTTAATTTACTATTATATATTAATAATAAAAAAAAATAATAAATAATTATATACCTTTTAATACATTAGAAGAAAAAAATCTTTTGGCAAGTTCATCAATCTGCTTATCTTTTGGATTCAATACTTCATTTGTTAAGCCCGATTTGCTTCTATATAATTCCTTTAAGTACCAAAGATATTCAGCTAACATAACAAAATTACCGATTAGACAAACTCAAGCTCCTCCATTATACATATTTCGGCCTATATTAATTAGTGATTTATAATTTATAAATTGTTGAAAAATGTGAGAATTTTAAAATAAATTTTACCTTTTTTAATACAATAAAAAATATCAGTTCCATTAATTAAAGGTTGACCATTATCAGATAAATTAATCTCAATAGAAAATTTTCTTGAAAAAAATGTTTTATCATCCTAAATCATTAAATAGTTATTAATAAATATATAAAACAATACTAACAGTAATAATTAACATATTTATCATTATAATATCAAGATCATTATAAACTGATGATTTTTATTATAAGTTTCTCCAATCCAAGTCCAATCATGAGCAGCACCATCAAAGTAAAGACCAATAGGTTTAGCATTTAATTTTATTAATTCTTTCAAAATAGTATTATTTTCAAAAAATACATCACTTTTAGTTTCTTTTTGATTTAATGGTATAATAGCTAAGACTAATGGTGGAATACCTGGTAAAATAGCTGATAATGCAAAAAAGTAATATATGTTACTTTATTAAATGATGAAATTTTAGTATGAAGCTCCTCAGCGGTCATTGAATAAGGTACCATTGAATTATCAATTGGAATAGATCCCACCCATTATTGTCGTGTTCTGCAAAATCAATCATTTTTAGCAACCTTTGTTTGATCTTTTGCACATATAGTTAGACATAATAATCATATGCTAACCGCCAGATTCTGATGAGTTCTGTAAATATATGAGGATTAATACTATAAATGTTATAAAATTCATCATTTTAATTCCTTTTTTTGTGTAAAAATCGAATTGTTGATCCAGCTAAATTTGTAGTAATCCATCGAACTGATAATATACTTATTGAAATTAATATAATAAGAAAATCTACAAAACTTTCATTATATTGCCCAATTCTACGCATTGAGATTACTCCATGCTCCATCTTATCAAGAACTTTGATGACTGCTTGTACCATGCCAACAAATACTGGTCATTGCTCATCCATAGTTTTGTTTATCATAAAAGTTATACATCTTCCAATCCAATTTTCAAATCCATTTACTTCAACAGCCTCAATAATTTGACTAGATATGATTTGACAAGTAAATGATAAGAATTATCCTTAAGTTCAAAAGAAATATAAGTTAAAAGATTTTTGAAAGCATTAGATGTAGTTGATCCAGATCGGTATTTGATGGTATTTATGACAACTTGATTAAGCTGTTTAAAATCATATCAAGCCATTTATGATCTGAATCACGATTAAACTGATTATGTATAGTTTGAGAAATTACCTGTCCTTCTTTAAGAAGAAACAAACAATCAATTTGAACAATAAGAGTTTATATACGACGATTACGTTTGTTGAAAGCTTCATTAGAAGCCAAAGATGCACATTGTGAACAAAATTGAGAACAAGTTTTTTCCATGCAATTATCATGTTTAAAGTATCCCTCAGCCTTTTCATTACCATCAAAAAGAGCATCATTTTGTAAAATTTGATGATTTTTGCCTTTGGTTCCATACTTGGCTAATACAGCATAATTATAAGAAAAAAATCCATTACAAACTAATTTTTAAAATAATTATGTATTAATTAATATGTTTATATAATAATTTGTAATATTTTAAAGAAAATATTATTACCTTTATATTGTGAATTACTATTATCTTTGCATTGCAAATCATTAGCATCATAATCACTATCATGATTATCATTACCGGTAACATATTGAGAAATAAAAGTTGTTCACAGTTTTTTATTCACCCTTTTGTCAGGCTCCGCTTTATTATTGGTATGCAGTGCAGTGTTAATATGAGTTAATAAGCGATCACTATCATTAGGCCGATATAAAATGATAGATTTTTTGTATCACAGTAATAGCAATAAACATGCTTTTCGTCTAGTTTTTTAAAATTTTCATCAAGCATTATATCATTCAATTTTGGCTTTTTTTTGTTTTGGAATATCTGCTTTATTATGAGTAATATCTAGACCTGAACCTTTCTTTTTTCAGGTACAACTGAATGGTGGCTTACACACTTCCCTTTTTCTTTACTTGCAGTAGGTCTTGTAGTCTCAGAAAAATGGAGTTTGGATTGAACAAATGTTTTTTTATTTAGTTTTGTGTTTGAAGAAGATCCTCTATTCATGTTTGTTTAACCAGATATGATAAAAAAGTTTTGTTTGAAGCGTGTTTCAAAATCAAAAAGTTTTTTATAAATGAAAAAATTTAATTGATTGTTAAAATATTTTCCAACCAATTACTGATTGATTAAACACCCCCCTTTTATTATTCTAACTTAGAGATTTCCCAAGCTCATGCTTGACATATTACTAAAATTAGATAAGATTCAATCCAGTTGTAGGATTGATCAAGTGAATATTACATAATAAAATTATGCTGTTCCCTAATTACAATTATTAAACGTTGAAAAGGCATCATTTAAATATCTATAGAAAGGTAAAATAATGTAATTATATTAGCAAATCAATTGTGTACATTCTAACTGAATTTAATAATTATAGAAATTATAAAACCACCATTACAAAAAAAGAATTTCACTGTATTCTATACCTTATCAATTGATTTTTTTTAATTAGTAATAAAAAAAAAGCAATTTTTTTTAATAGAATAATTAAAAATTTGCGAAGCAAAAAGTTTTTGAAATACTGTGAACGAATAAAATATGATAGGACCTACGTGGCGCAGATGATCGACAAATCTGACAAATCTGACATAT